TACAAAGTACAACGTTAGAACAACAAAAAACACAAGAGACTTCCTCCGAGCCATAACCCAAAACAACTAAACCCCCGCTAGTACCTACGGAATCAACCCCAAAAACCGAAGATGGACTAGTACAACTAAGGAAGCTATTCACAACTGAAACTGAAACTTTTGTTTCACACAAAAACAAAAAAGTAGGAGCAAAGGAGTGCAACAACCAAAACACATAAGGAAGCTTAGGCGAGTTAAGGTCATTTAGTCCGCGGCAATTCCATGATGTAATCTTCATAAAACCTTGGGGAGCTGTGAAGGGCCAGCTACCTTACCAAAGTTATCCATGGAAGCAGAAGACAAGTGAGCAGAAGAAGCTCCTGTATCATCACGAAAGGCCGTTGACACGAACCCATCACCTGAAATTTTTAGTGACTTGCTTGAGGAAGCAGGGGCTGCAGCCTCTTCAACCTTCCTTTTACTTCCTGACCCACCCATGAATTGGTTAGAAGAGCAGCCCAATGAAGTGACCCCCACCTAAGCATGAGTAGCAGCAGCAAACCCCAAATGGTCTGCATTAGAAACATCCGAGAAAGCCTTTGCAATTGCCTTTCTTGAGTTAGTAGCTGGCACGGTAAACCCGCCCTTGGCTTGTACATTAAGGGACCTTATTTTGCGACGTTTTTGAGACCAAGTCGAGCCATGATAACCAAAATAAGGTTCTTGGTCATACGAGCGACACCGATGAAAAGGGCCACGAGCACTTCTTTTTTGTGGCCTGGCAGCAGTCTTAAAATGTGGAGTAGTGTGAGGAACAGGAGGTGGAATATTTGCAGGATGCTGCGTATCGGATTTATCTTCCAAAGACAGCTTTTCAAGCAATTGAGGAGTAACATCAGCTACATCAGAAGTAATAACAGGAGGAAAATTTAAATCCTCCGAGTCAGAGCTATCCGTAAGGAAGCTTTCCTCCAGGCCAGCTGATATACGAAAACCCCCTCCTGCCATAAATTGAGCACGAACATCAGTGAGTTTGTCACTCCCCCTGATCGGAGGCTGACTTGTAATCCGAGTAATGCGAGGAAGAAGTGGCTGCCCCATCATTATTCCCCACACCTGCAGAATTGGAGTGATCAGGAGCAGCAAAATAGCTCTATTCGCGCTGCAGCAGGTTGAGTCACGCCACCCAAAGAAGGAACAACCCAGGGAGCAGTATATGGTGCATACGGATCTCCTGCCAGCATAGTTTCCCAATTCTCCTGTATAAATCTCGTAGAATGCGGGTTGTGATACGACTCCGGAGTTGTAGGATCAGTTTCCGACGAAGAAAGGTGAGCCGACCCCTGATATGAAGCAGAACTAATCGAAGATGAAGAAAGAGCAGCCGCATTTGTGTGAGTCATATACCCATTTTGATACACCCCATTAATAGGGATAAATTCCGTCTCAAGATTGTCATTGTCATCTAGACCATCCCCATTATGAGCATCAGCATTTACATCACCATTCGGCAAATTATTACCTCCCCCTGCACCTGATGATTGTCAGAATCCTCACCTCCTTCAGTTTCCTGATCGTCATCACCATCTTGATCATTATCATTATCATCCGGATTTACATCATTATCATCAGAATCATCATTATTATCACCATTCATACCATCATCATCATTACCCGAACTAGTACTATCCTCATGAAAAACGAAGTCCTGTGCCAAGACTAGCAGATTTACTCTAGTATTTCGAGTTGTAAAATTAGCCTGAGAGCCTTCGATCATATTTGTATATAAGGGCCGATTATTTTGATTATATAGCACTGAATAACCTTGAGATTCAAACGTTTCCATTCTAGCATTAATTTTCCTATTAGCCACATAATCCGAACACAAACAGAATTCAGAATAGTGCCCCACACACCCACACTTCTTGCAAAATTTGAACACGCCCTCATACCTAAAATATATCCATATCGGCTCAGGAACAAAGCATCCAGGTATTAAAGGTTTAGAGAGATCAACTAATATTTGCCCACGAAATTCAGGCAGCTCGGGTAACCCATCCCCATCATATTCAAGATCTAGGGTTTTGACAGCCCATTCGGGATCGAGATACCCAAAGGGAAGCCCATTAACACGAACCCACAGTCTCGTCATATAAAAATTTACATTAGCTGGAATAGTAAACCTATTACACCTACGAACATTGCAAATTATACCATCCAAAACGAAGGTGTGTTGCTCAAGTAAGGCTTCTACGTCCGCTAAATTTGAGCATGCAAAGACGAAATAACAACTCGTACGATGGACAATAATATTACCTCGTGTGAGCCATTGAGTGTCCACTATCTGTTGAACGAGCGACCGACATGGAGGATTGGGCCCAAAGAATCTCCCAACAACCGCTTTGTTCCAGTCAATATTAGTAAGATAATGCTCCAAAGGTTGGTTTAAATACACTCCAAATTGATACATGATCCAATGATTGGGGTTTGCCATAATAAATGCCAACAAAGGACAGAAATTTTAAGGGAAGAAGTAAAGAGAATTTATGGAGAACAAAGCAGTATAACCTTGATACTTTTTGAAGTAAAAACCTGGAAGATGAAATTTGGGTAGATTAATCCCAAATTAAATCGGTATAGAGGGAAAGGTGCCTTGCATGAAACCCACGTGTAGAAATAGGAAGAAAGAAGGGGTAAACAAGGTTGAATGGTGGGGTAGCTCAAGAACCAGGCTTTAGCAATAGGAAAGCTCCTCACAAAGGAAAAAGTTGGATGAAAAATCTTACAAAAGATTGATTGGTTAACAAATTAATAACTTGGCAGCAAAGGCTACAGACCAAGCATTAATCGTAGCAATTGGAGTATAAAAGGAGAATTAGCCTTGAAAACTCAAGAACAAAGTATAAACCCTAGAAACCTAGGCACCGACTCAAAATAGTTTGAGAGAGAATTTGACCTGCTAGCTTTATGATTTTTTTTTTTTTAATAATGTTAAATTTTGGAGGTGACATTAAGCTTTAGGAAGATTAGTAAAATTGCGTAAAATATACGACTACATATTTAAATATTTTGAATACAAAAATGGTGTAAAATATTGTTTAAGTGGAATTTGTTGGGGAACTAAAATTTATAGAATAGAAATAAAGGGTTAATACTACCTCTGGTCCAAATTACTTGCAACTTTATAATTTGTTTAAACGACCGAAGGTAGTAGTTTATTAAAACGTAAGGAATGTACAAGTATATGAGAGGAACAATAAACGTAAGAGTAAGGACAATGTAGGATTATTGTTTGGTTTGGGCTTAAATTTTTCATAGAAATTTCCTAAAAAAAAATTCATAGAAATTGATTTTTCTATGATTTCTCAGTTTTTCTTTGTTTGGGTTGTGAAAGGAGTGGAAAATAATTTTCCCAATAATAGAAAATTGCATTCATAATAGTGTAAAATAGTTTCCTTCATAAATGTTGTGTTCAAGACTCACTACTACCACTAGTAGGATAGCTTATAGAATAAGACAAGCAATTAGTAGTGTGTGGAATAAGCCATGCAAGGTAGTTTGTAGAGTAAGCCAAGTGTTGACTTGGTTCCTTTTGTGGTAGTGTGCTTTGTACACTTTGTAGTTGGCTTGTATAATAAGCCAAACTTGGTAGAGTGCTATATAAGCTATATAGGTCTTATTGTAGCATCACTAATCATGAGAAGAGTGGTCACACAAGCATTGTAGTTGTGAGGAAAACACAATACTTACTCTAAGATTTTGAGTGAAAACATAAGAGAGTGAGTAGTTGTTAGTAGCTTGTGAGTGCAAATATTAGAGAGCTTGTGAGCTCATTAAGAGTGTTTGTAATTGTAGTTTTGTAGCTCAAATTCAATAGTGAGATTGTCTTTGAGAAGGGTAACAAAGTTACCCATAAATTGATTGTGTTGTTTTATTGTTCTTTGGCATTGTTGTTTATTATTACTTATTTTTCGATCCCGAATTCCTAACAATAAAACAAGGGAATTGAATCCACATTTTTTTCCCTCCTCCCTACCTTAGCTTCTTTTTACTTTCCTTTCATCCATTCCCAATTTCTCTTTACCTTTTCAGTTAAGAAACAAACAAAGGAGAACTATCTTGCAAGTGTGACAATATATACCCCTCCGTGTTTTTTTAAATGTTACACTTCTTATTTTGGTAAAAAAAAAAACTACATTAAAATATTATATCTCTCCTCTCATGGTTTTCAACCAAACCCACTGCTACTTTTTTTTATTATATTTTTCCTATCACATTCATTACCTTTTCAATAAACTATTAACCTCACTATCTTTCTTTTACAATTTTTTAATGCTCCAACTACCCAACTTACCTCTTATTTTATTTAAGTTAATTAAATTGCCTAAAGCTATGTGTCAGTCAAACTGTAACACTTAAAAAAACACGGAGGGAGTATATTATTAATGAAAATTAATACTACCTCCGTTAAATGTTATGTGCAACTTTGGAATATTATTTATGATATACTTCCTCCGTTTCTATTTAGTTGACGTGTTTGATTTAGACACATATATTAAGAAAAAGGAGAGAGAGTGAGAGAGAATGAAAAAGCAAGTGGTGTAGTTTGTAAATGCAAGGTAAAAAATTTATCCCTAAAGAAAACGTGACAACTAAAAAAAACTTCCTAAAAAGAAATACGTGTCAACTAAAATAACGGAGGTAGTATAAAATTTTTCAAAGTTGAACATAACATTTAACAGAGGTAGTATTTCATTGAAAATGTATTACATCAAACCAAATAGGGACTAAGGGCCTGTTCTCATACGTTGAAATTCAGTTTAGTTCAGCTCAGCTCAGTTCAGTTCAGTTCAATTCATCTCTTAATTTCCTTCTCTTATAAAATATTCAGTTCAGTTCAGTTTAATTCAGCTGAATTCAGTCAATGAGAACAGACCTTAAGAGTCAATTTAAATTAAACGCAACTGTTGGTGACAATTTTTTTTCTTTTATCATACACTCACAATTTAAGCATCACACAGAACTATCGAAGCCATTTATCAATTTGGAGATTCAATTTCAGATACGGGCAACTTTATACTTGAAAATCCACAATCTTCCTTCGCAAAATTACCGTATGGAAAAACTTTCTTCCACAAGCCAACCGGTCGTTGTTCAGATGGACTTCTTATGATTGACTATATTGGTAAGAATCGCCTTGTTATCAAATTTAATCAATTATATACTTCCTCCATTTTTTTTTATTGCACCATGAGTGATTTCACGCTTACCAATGCATTTTTTTTAGCTATTAATATCTTTAATTATATTTTTGTAAAAATTATAAAAAAATGATATTTGAAGTCCTAATGGTGCAATAAAATAATAACGGAGGAAGTATTTAACTTTTTTTTTTAATAAGAATTATATATTTAACTTACTACCTCCGTTTCTTATTATTTATAACAAATTAATATTTTATGTTTTACAAATAATATTCTTTTACTGCAAATAAGTAATAAGAAATGGACGAAGTATTATGAATGATTTAGTTGTGACATCAGTCACATGAAGACTTTTTTCATTTCATAGTGAAACAAAGTACTCGTTTATTATAGGATAACAAGCCTAGTTCTTATTATTGGTTGTTAACTTGTTATCGATGCAGCCGAGTTCTTTAAGCTGCCATATCTTGATCCGTATCTTAACAAAGATGGTAACTTTAGTCAAGGGGTTAACTTTGCTGTTGCTGGATCGACTGCACTCAACACCTCTACATTAGCTAAGAACAATATTAGTTATCACGCCACAAATAGCTCCTTATTTGTGCAGCTTGATTGGTTTAAGTCCCATCTTCATTCCATTTGCTCTAGTCCTTCAGGTAATTTTTGCTCAACTTATTTCTTTTTATTAGTTTTACTAATTATAGCCATATAATTCATAATTGCATGCTCTCAATGAAATTTGTGTATGAAATTTCATGACTATTATTAAGATTTAAGATAGGGAAAATTGTGTATGCAACAAATGTATATATGAGTATGTAATATAGTATTCCCTCCGTCCTATAATATGAATCCTATTTGTGTTTTTTCACGGTATTTAAAAAATGTTAGGAAAAAGTGATTAAAGTACATTAAAAAGGTAAAAAGTACAATTATAGACAAAAGTTATAGATGTGAAAGTGAATGAAGTACATAAAAAAATGAAAAAGGTATAAAACAAGTGGAAAATTCAAGGATAATATAGGATTTACAATGAATAAAGTTAGAAAAAAATAAGGGTATAATATATAGTCTGTTCATACTAGCCAACGTAGAAAATAGGAACAATAATATGAGACGGGGGAGTATATAACTATATATTCCACATGTGAGTTTGGATGTGAAATATACGATTCGTTTTATTTACTTGATTTTACTTATATAAACTTATTTTTTCTTGAAAAAATCCAATTGAAATGTAAATGATGATATTAAAACTAGTGTTAACCTTTTTCTTTACCATTTAGAAAACTATTGCATAATACACTAGTTCATTAGGAGTATCTCTCATGAGAAATGTCTCCTAATAATGACCTGATTTGACCCAAATTTTATACTTGTATTTCATAATAATATTAAGTTTTACACTATATTTGATAGTTTTTAAACATAATCTGAACCCGACTCGCTGACCTGAATTGCCACCCCTACCTAATATTTTCCCGTTTCATTACCAAAACAAGGCTTAGCTTCTCTCACTTTATAAAAGACATTGCCTTAGGTCTTAGAGGTTAGGGCTCGAACCTTATCAAGTGAGAATATTTGGTGGTAGTTATCTCGTTACTCCACTCCCCTACTTTCAAGTATTCCTTTGAACCACAATGTGATTAGCTTCATATGCAAACGATAGACTATACAAAATATTTTTATTAATTTTGTATCAAGTCTTAAGAATATATAACTCCTAACATATTTATTTGATCACTCACATCTCTGATTTCTATTATAACTTCAGAATGCAAGGGCAAACTCTCAAAGGCACTCATTATGATGGGTGAAATTGGAGGAAATGACTATAATTGGGCCTTTTTTCAAAAAATGTCAATAACAGAAATCTATAAACTAGTGCCTCAAGTTGTGCAAGCTATAAAATTGGCCATAAAGGTGATCAACTTCTCACCCTTTAAAAAATACTCAGTACTCATGAATTATAATACCTCCGTTTCTTTTTAGTTGCAACAAAGAGGTGTATTTGATATACTTCTTAGTTCTTACTCATGTATCCTAATTTGTAAGTCATTGTTATCATTGTTGTTACAGGAAGTGATTAAGCTCGGTGCCATTCGAATTGTTGTCCCGGGAAACTTTCCCATTGGTTGTATGACCATTTACCTAAACAAGTTTAAAACAAACGACGAAAGTATGTATGACGACCTCCAATGTCTAAAAGATTTGAATTCTTTTGCGGATTTTCATAACAATAAACTACAAGAAGCTATTAAAGAAGTTCACAAGGATCACCCGGATGTAACAATTGTGTACGCGGACTATGTTTCAGCCTTACTAGAACTTCTCGAACACGCTACCTCCTATGGTTAGTACCTACTTCGTATACCCTAATCACGTTCTTTTTTGAATTTATGTTACATCAGTATATACGTGCATGTGCACTCGAGTGTATATATAACTAATTAAAAGTAATGTGATTAATTATATGTAGGGTTTGACAAGGATGTTATGCTAGATGCTTGTTGTGATAATTGTGGAAATGAAGGAATTCCGGTTTGTCAAGATCCTTACAAACGCGTAAGTTGGGATGGAGTGCATTTGACTCAACATGCTTATCAAGTTATGTCACAATGGTTAATAAAACATACTAATGGTTTCAATGACAACTCTAGCGTTAAACGTTTGAAGTTTTCTTTTCTCTTCTTAATTTTTTCTTCACTAAGTACATTTATAAGTTTGGGATAAAAGAAAGTTTGTTATACAACTTTTTTTTTTTTTTTAGAATGTTAATTACACAGTTCTAGAGAATGATAGCATTTTTTTCCCTAATATTATTATCTATTGTATTGCCTAATAGAGTTTATATCCCCTTTGACAAGATCAAGTAGGAGTATTTACAAATTTGTTGTAGTATGTAACCACAGTTATTAGGATCGTGATCTGTATGATCCTACGATCTTATTTTTACCAAACAATCCGGATCGAAGTAGGATCGGGTAGAATTGTATAGAATCGTATGATCCTATCGATTCTACCCGATCCTGCAAATCAACCTAATTGTGTGGAATTTTAGCCCAAGTTTAGTAGGATTGGATAAGATCGCATAGGATCAATGTACGATCCTACTTGATCATATCTGATCCTACTAGATTTTTTTATTATTTAGTGTTTGGGTCCAATTAAGCTAATTGGGCCGGGTCCAATTAAGCTAATTGGCCCGGTCACTAAATGATTCAATCCAAGCCAAGGTCAAGGCCCAAGCCTCCAATCTGCCAAGTCATTCTTCAAGCTAACGGCCCAAGTCATTATGGTAAGCCCATATGATCTCAAGCTCATCCTTTCTCCTTGTCATGCTAAGGTATAAAAGCCTTCAATCACACCATTTATGATCAATACACATTCAAGTCTCAAGCATTAATTCTCTTGCATAGCTTTCTCTCTCTAAACACTATTTGACTTCGGCATCGGAGGTCTTCCTCGGAACCACCCCCGAGGCCAGTTTACGTGTGTTTGCTGTGCAGGAAACCCTCGGCCCAGTATCATTTGGACCGAGCCAGTCTTCATCCACATCTTTGGACCTTCGGCAAGATCCCATTGTTTTCACCCGAAACAATTTGGCGCCGTCTGTGGGGAAGACTTTCAAAAAATCTTAGTATCAATGGCCAAGAATCGCAAGAACAAGCGAGTAAGTCAGGGAGTAGGTGAAAGGCCCACGGACCCTCCTACTCTTACACCATCACCTTCTCTGGATCGAAACTCTTCTAAGGGTGCCAGCTCGGAAGGAGCATACCGGGAGGATTCCCTTTCTCCCTTAATTCATCAATCTCATCACAGGCCGAGTCCTCCTCGGTCTAACAACAAAAGCCAGTCCGATCATAAGACTCAATCAGTGCCTCGAAGCAGACCTTTGAGCATCCACTCTCACTCTCACACTCAGCCGAGGACCCCTTTAACGGGGCCTAGCTCGGAGGAGGTAGCGAGGGCGTTGGCGGTGCTCATGGAAGCGATGAAGGCTCAAAATATGTCTCCTCCTCGTGACCAAACTCCTCCGCATACCAGGCATCAGCGGAGAAAGCTCGGCCAGGAGGGGGAGAAACCTCCCTCCTTCAGGGAGTTGGCAAAGTGGGAAGAGGACACTTGGAGAACTGAGAAAGAGAGGAAAAAGAACCCCCACTTCTTCAAAGAATCCTCTACCTCTCGTCCAGAAACTCACAAAAGCAGCAGCTCTGCCTCTCGGCCAGAGACTGTCCGCCGAAGCGTTCTCGACCGGCTCGGCGGCAGGGAGCGGAGTGTGCATAGCCGCCTCTCATTCCCTGTAGCCGAGGCCTGAACTTCCCAGCCAGGGACAAAAACCACTCTTACTTCTCTAAGAGGGCAGAGCGCGACCCCTTTGGCCAAGAACAAGGGCAAGGCTGTGATGCTTCCCACCAGTTCTCCATTCGAACAATGGATTCTGGAAGATCATGTGCCGACGGTTAAAATCCCGTCGCACATTACTTATGATGGAACTTCAGATCCGAAGGACCATATTGCCTCTTACGAGGGGCACATGCACCTTTGCCCCAGGTCCGAAGCGACCTGGTGCAAATATTTTCCCACTACTCTCAAATGGGTCGTGCAAGCGTGGATCTCCAAGGGAGTGAAGGAAGGCTCTATAACGGGGTGGGACGACTTGTCCTGTAAGTTTAAGAGAAAATTCTTCACGGCAAATCGCTGAGAGAAAACCACTGCAGAGCTCATGGGCTTGCAGCAAGGGGAGACCGAGAGTCTTCGGGATTACCTGACTCATTTCAGCAACGAGTCATCCAGCGTTTCCCGGCTGGATCAAGGGTTGGCTGTCTTTGCAATGTAGAATGGTCTTCAGCCAGGAAATTTCCTCGACTTCATGGTCATGCATCCCCCGCAGACCCTGGAGGAAGCTTTTAACGCTTCGGATAAATTCATCCGAGCTGAAGAGTGGAACAAAACAAAATCCCAACCCCAATCTGGGGGTGGGAAGAAAAAATAATTGTCTGAAGGCCAAGGCCAGAAGGCGAAAGGTAAGGCGAAAGCCTCAAAACAGTCTTCGGCCAACGAGCCGAAGAAGGAAAAATCTGCTCCCTTCACGGACAGATATGAATCCTGTACTCCGCTCCCCCTTCCGCGCGCTAAAATCTACAGCGTAACAAAGGAGGAGCAGAGTTACAGGAAGTCGAGACCACTCCCAGAGTGGTATCAGCGAAAAAATAAAAATCAGTGGTGCGAGTTCCATGAATCACCGGGACACAACACTGAAGAGTGTATCCAGCTGAAAGACCAAATCGAGGATATGGTCCGGAAGGGATACTTGAAAAATTACATTGCGGATCACCTCGAGAAAAAAGAGGCTGAGAATTCCAAAAAGGACTCTCGGCAAGATCTCGATTTCCTTCAAAAGAACAGCAAAAATGCGGAAGGAAAATTTCCTCCGATCCATGTTATCTCGGGAGGAATATGTTCTTGGAGGGAGCACAAGAGTCACCTCAGGGTTATGACCCATCAGGTGAATAACGCAAGCATTCAGCCGCCCCAGTCACCGGTGTCGAACATGACGTTCACATCCGCTGACTGTCGGGGGGTGACGTACCATCATGAGGACTCGTTGGTGATCATCGCCACGGTGGTCAACCACGACGTCAGCAAGGTTCTTGTTGATGGTGGCAGCGGAGCAAACATTTTGTTTCGAAAGGCCTATAACCAAATTAAGCTGAAGCCCAAGCACCTCACGCCGGTACCCTACCCGGTATCTGGATTTAATGGGGCCTCAACTTATCCAGACGGAAAGGTAACACTTCCTGTCACTATCGGCTGTGACGAAGCAGCCAGGAACGTCATAACTGAGTTTTTGGTCATCGACGTTCCTTCAATGTACAACGTGATCATGGGGAGACCCATAATTCACGAGATTCAAGGGGTAGTCTCGACATACCACCAGCTCATGATCTATGTTTCGGATGGTGGCTATCCCGAAAGAATCGAGGGCAGCCAAAAGGAGGCCCGAAGGTGCAACTACCTCAAGCCATCCACCAGTCGTGCAGAAGACGACGACGAGGATGAGGAGGAGAAAGAAAGGCAGCCGAGCGCGAAGAAGCCGAAAGGCCTAAGTGCTTCGGCTCAAGGAGACCTGGCCAAAGAAAAAGGGCCAGGAAAAGAAAAGGCTAGCTCATCATCTGAGCCGAAAGACTCAGAGAGCCAGCCGAAAAAGAAAAAGTTTGGAACCCCTGCTGATATAGACAGTAGGCTAGAAAATGAGGAGTCCAGCCCCACAACAATGGAGCTGAACCAGCAGACCGAAACGGTCGAGTTGACCGAGGGAGACGCTGAAAAATGTGTTACAATCGGGCTGGATCTTGATCCGAAAGTCCGCGTTGAGCTCATCCAACTCCTTCGGGACAACCGAGATGTGTTTGCTTTCTCGGAAGCTGACGTGCCCGGGATAAGTCCAGACCTCATCTCTCATAAGCTTAACGTTGACCCAACATGTCATGCCAGTTAAGCAAAAGAAGCGAAATTACTCCGCAAATAAGAATCGAGACATCGCAGCCGAGGTCAAAAAGTTGCTGGATGCAGGCTTCATCGAACTTTGTCAGTATCCAGAATGGTTGGCCAATGTGGTGATGGTTCAGAAGGCAAATGACACCTGAAGAATGTGCATTGACTTCACGGACCTAAATAAGGCTTGTCCAAAGGACTTCTATCCCTTGCCGAGAATCGATCAGCTAGTCGACTCGACGAGCGGCCATGCCTTGCTTAGTTTCATGGACGCATTTTCTGGTTATCATCAGATCTTCATGCACCCCGACGACCGAGAAAAGACGGCATTCGTCACGAACGCCGGGGTGTACAATTACAGAATGATGCCCTTCGGATTGAAAAATGCGGGGGAAACATATCAAAGGCTGGTGGACCAAGTTTTCGCCGAGCAAAAGGGACGAAACATGGAAGTCTATGTTGACGATTCAATCGTCTAAAGCAAAAAAGATGAAGACCATGTTAAGGACCTGGCGAAAACTTTCGCCACCCTAAGAAAGCATCAAATGAAGCCGAATCTGAAGAAGTGTGTCTTCGGTGTGAAGTCAGGGAAATTCCTTGGGTTCATGGTCAGCAAAAGAAGGATTGATGCCTATCCCGCTAAGGTGCAGGCAGCGCTCGATCTTCCCGAGCCGAAAACAAAGAGGGATGCTCAGCGGCTCACCGGAAGAATGGCAGCCCTCTCGAGGTTCATCTCCAGGGCCTCGGATAAGGGATTACCTTTCTTCAAAGCCCTGAAGCTCCTGAAAACAAAGGAGCTCGTTTGGGAGGACGAGCAAAGAGAGGCCTTCAAGCAGCTTCGGGAGCATTTAGCTCAACTTCCGACACTGGCTAGTCCAGTAGAGGGAGAGTCCTTGTACTTATACGTGGCTGTCAGCCCAGCCACCATCAGTGCAGTGCTGCTGAGGGAAGAGAATAAAGTTCAGCAAACGATCTACTTCGTCAGCCACACTCTGACGGATGCCAAGACCCGCTACCCCTTACTCGAAAAAGTTGCTTATGCAGTGGTGGTAGCTTCTCGGAAGTTAAGACCCTATTTCGACTGCCATCAGATAATGGTCCTAACTGATCAACCGCTGGAAAAAGTTCTCGGCAAAGTTGAAAAATCTGATAGGCTGGCCAAATGGGCTTTTGAGCTCACCGAATTCAGCATCAGCTACCAGCCGAGAGCGGCCATAAAGGCTCAAGCTCTGGCGGACTTCCTGGCCGGATGCTCGTAATAGGAGACGCTAGATGATGAAAAGAAAACCTGGACCATTTTCACGGATGGATCCTCCACCGTAAATGGTTCGGGGGCAGGGGTGGGTATAACCTCTCCTGAAGGCAAGTCCTTCGAGTGTGCACTAAAATTTTCGCTCAAAGCTTCGAACAACGAAGCCGAATATGAGGCGGCAATTGCTGGCTTAGAATTATGCATCTCGCTGGAAGCCGAACATGTCTGTCTGAAGACAAACTCCCAGCTAGTTGCATATCAGATTGGTGGCAATTACGAGGCAAAAGAGCCCTCGATGATAGCCTATCTTGCCAAGATCAAGTCAGTTATTGCAAAGCTGAGAACTTTTGAAGTTTAGCTGATCCCAAGGGGTCGGAATGCACAAGCTAATGCACTCTCCAAACTTGCTAGTTCAACTCTCACTGAGCTGAACCGATCCGTTTATGTGGAGGTGTGTCGGGAGAGAAGTGTGGACGAAGCACCTGAAGTGTGCTGCGTCGACCAAGAAACAAGCTGGATGGATCCCATCCTAGCTTTCAAACTTCGGGGAGAAATTCCCGACGATAAAACTTTGGTCTCCAAATTGAAGCGAACCAGTGCAAGGTTCATTGTCTTCAAGGGCGAACTTCTGAAGAAATCCGTCTCAGCCCCTTTGCTGAAATGCGTGGGTCCGACAGATGCAGATTACATCCTTCGGGAAATCCACCTCGGCATCTGTGGGAACCACATTGGGGGAAGGACCTTAGCCCACAAAGCATTAAGGGCAGAGTACTATTGGACTACCATGATCTCAGACGCTAAGGAGCTGGTCAGAAAGTGCAAAAAAATGTCAAAAATTTACACCCGTCATCCATCAGCCAGCCCAGGAGCTTCAGCCCGTGCTGATCCCACTTTCATTTGCCCAATGGGGATTAGACATCCTGGGCCCATTTCCAGATGCCGCATACCAGAAAAAGTGGCTGATAGTCGGCGTCGACTATTTCAGTAAATGGGCCGAGGCCAAAGCAGCCTCGAACATCACAGAGCAAACTGTCAGGAAATTTATCTGGCAGAATATCATCACTCATTTCGGCATCCCGAAAGTATTTGTCTTTGATCATGGAAGGCAATTTGACAATCTACCGCTGAAGCGGTATACAAATCAGTTCGACATCAAACTGGCATATTCAGCGGTATGCCACCCGCAAAGTAACGGACAGGCCGAAGCTGCAAATAAACAGATTCTTAATGCCCTCAAGAAGAGAGTGGAGGATCAAAAGTCCAAGTGGCTAGAGGAACTCCCAGGAACTCTCTAGTCTCTTCGGACAACCAAAAAGGAAGCAATGGGCCATTCACCCTTCGAATTAGTGTATGGCGTCGAAGCCATTCTCCCAGTGAAAATCGGTTCTGAAAGCCTGCGAGTGCACCACTTCTCGGCTGAGAATGAGCAACTTATGAAGGAATCCCTCGATTTCCTTGACGAAGTAAGAGACTCAGCCCGAGTCAGAATGGCTGCATACAAGCAGAGAATCACCAAATTTTACAACAGAAGAGTTCAGGCAAGGCCTCTCAAAATTGGAGACCTCGTCCTTTGAAATGCTGCTGCAGTCCAGAAAAGCCGAATCCATGGGAAACTCTCAGCTGCTTGGGAGGGACCCTATGAAATCTATGATGAACTTCAGCCGGGAACATACCGACTTCGGCAGTTGGATGGAACTGAGCTGAAAAATCACTAGAATACAGATGTACTTAAGAAATATCACGTGTAAACCCTTCGGGGTAGAACAATCTTGTAAGTACATTCTGAATTATTAATGAAAGGCCTCCGAGCCACTATTTTCTACAAACATGTGCAATCTTTACTCTTTCATCTTTTCTTAATTCTATCTACTCTCCAAGGGTTTCCTTCGGCCCTGTCCGAAACCTTCGCCCTCAGAGCACCAGGTTTCGGATTGCCGATAAACTCGCTTTTTTAAAGAACACCAGTCTTTCAGCTGAGGTGAAAACCTCAGTAAGACTTGTTCTACAAGGCAATGAGTCCATGGACAAATCTGGGATATTGCCTTAACTGAGCCCTGTATCCCAGAAAGCCATTATTTGAAACACTGCCTTCGATTGGCCTTGTGTTTGAGATATCCATTTTTCAAATAGACAGTTTATCAAGAGCAATAGCACAACTGATAGAAAATAAACAATGTAGCAAAAGGCGATCTCAGAAATCTGAAGATCAAGTCTTCAAATCTCTAGGGGGGCAAGAAGCACTACAAGTGCAGCCTACCTCAAATGGGACCTCCAAGCCAAAGCTCTTTACTTAGAAATTTGCGCAACAAAAAAAAGGGAAGAGAAGAAATCATCAAAATTTGAAAATTCAAATATGCAAGCATGCAAGTTTAAAGCAAGGCAATAAGAGGAAAGCATCACATTAAGACAGATGAAAATTATGCTCGGGTCACGAGCTACAAACATAAGTGTTTTGAGTACCTAGAAAGAAAATATCGGCAGCCGCCCACAAGCGGAAAATAACAGCTACCGAAATGCGTACAGGGCAAAAATAAATAGTTTATACACTGAGGCAAGCTGAAGCAAAAACAAAGGCAAAAAACATTCAGAAACGGCATCTGTCATTTTAAGAGCACGTTGATTCGCAAGATTCTGAAGACGACTACCCGAGTCCCTAGGCTTCAGCTGAAGGGTCAGGCCTCCCAGCAATGTTGGAATCCGGCGCGGCATCAACTCCAGTTGCAGAAGAGGCGGGTTGAACTTGAGCCTGGGCTTCAGCTTCCTTCCTCTCAGCCTCCTCGGCCGCTGCATCCTCAGCTTGGAGACGGGCCAACAGATCGACCTCAGCCTGGCTGGCTTGTTGCATATGAGGATCCTGGGGGTCTTCAGCCCAGATTTCACATTGATACCAATCCAGGTCAGGTGCAGCATGGAGAGCCAGTCTTCGAGCCACCCCATAACTGTTGAGGTAGGCGGTCGAATACTCCTCCTGGGAGTAAACCTGAGGGCTAGCTGAGCCTCAGCGTCGGCCAGCTTCTTTTGGACCTCCTCCAAGGCCTTCTGGGAAGACTCCTGATGTTCCTTCAGCTTAGCCTCGGCATCAGCAAGCCGCTGCTCTGTCTGTTCAGCCTTACCCTGGACCAGGGATAGCTCGACCTCCTTATCCTTCAGTTGAACCTCCAGGCTGGTGATGCTCTGCCTCTGAGACTCCAGTTGGACTCCGGCCTCGACCAGCTCGTTCTCCCTGCTTTCATAGGCTTGGCGATGACGGTTGGCATCAGCCTCCAAGATCTTGATCTTCTGCCGAGCTATTTCTTCTCGAGCTAGCACTTGAGATTGAACCTCAGCGTCAATTTTGTGCTGGATCTTGGCTTTGAGGCTTTGGACGTCAACCGCGCCGAACGCTTTGAGCAAGGCCTCTCCCTCGTCCATCATGGGCAGGACGTCTTTCTCCATTTCTTCACAAAAAGTGTTGAAGGAGTCAATTACAACCTTGGCCTTTTGCTCAGCGCTCTCCAGCTTCAGCTGAGCGAGTTTTGCCTCTGTTTCAGCGATGTCTACTCTCTCTTGAAGCGCATCAATCATCTCGCAGGTCAGAGTATGATTGTAGACAACTTGCAGAATCGGGGTTCAATTCAAGGTAAATAAAATTACAAGTAAATGAAGCAAGCTGGAACTGCTGAAGGTGCAAAACATTTTCACATACCTGCATCAGTAGCCTCTAGTTGTCTCGCGCGGGATCTGGGACTGAGGGACCAGGCTCGGCAATTCCAACGGTTGCCCGAACAGACCACTCTCGGACCTGCTCCATTTCAGACAATTCGGAGCAACCGCCGAAATAAGCCTTAGCGCTTTCTCCGTATTTCCCCCAGATTTTGGCCCTAACTCCAGCTGGGTTGGAGCACTTCTTTGCTGAGAACCCCATGTCCCCAGACTGAAAGGATTTGAAAGAGGGAAACGAAGTTGATCGAGCTTCGTCGGCTTTTTCGGGCTCAGTCGTTGCCCCTCCTTCAGCCTGGTCCCCTTCAGTGCGGACCCCTTCAGCCTCCCTAGCAGGTTGACTTGTCAAAGCGTCAACCTCTTGCTGGATTTCAGCAGTAAAGCCCTTAGGGGCCTTGTCCTCAACAGCAGCCGCCTCTTTGGCTGCTTTGACAGCTTCACCATCAGGGAGCTCAGCAGCGCTCCCCTTGTTGGAAACAACCTCAGGAACCCCCTCCCTTGGGTCAGGAGTTCACTGATCAACCTCCATGTCGTCAGTGGGAGGAGGTGGTGGAGGGGTCTTCGGCGGTGGCGGAATCGATGGTGGTGGCTGGGTAGGGGGCGGAGGACCCCCCGTACCTCTAGAAACCCTGCCTCGGCCAGCGGCAGGCTCCCTTATTACGACGCCTGGCATCGGCCTTAGCGTAAAATCTCTCGGACCCACTACAGCCGGGCCCGTCCTTCTTCTCTTCCTCTGCTGCAGAGGTTGATCATCCATGTCGTCAGAATCCGAAGAATCAGATTCTGAAAGATCGTCTGATGACTGTGGAGCCTTCCCCTCTCTCCTTCTGCTCTCTTCCTCAGACTGTAGAAGTGGGGGAGCAAAAAGGGATCAGTAAAAAAAAAAAAAACAACAAAGTGTTGAAGGCCTTACCAAAGTCCTCGTCTGAGCCTCGGCAGCACCAGAAGTCCCTTCTCCCCTTTCTAGGGAGTTAATCGCTCTGGTCACGTCCGCGACAGTCTGAGCAGCTTGTACTTCTTCGGGTAGCAGGGGCCTCAAAGGATCCTACTTCTCCCACCAAGGCTTCTTCTTCAGATAATCTGCAACAGCCTCAATCTGAAGGCCTGTATAGTGCAAATGCAGCGGACGGTCCTTCGGACTAGTGATCGCGGGAGCTCGGTCTAGAATGACCCTTTCAGCGTTCACTCCCAGCCGATCGTAGTCAATTCCGGAGGTGGCCTCGCTCAGCTCTGAAAGGGCAAAGTGAAGGTTAGCCTTAGGGAATAGACAAAACAAATAAAGCGGTAAGAGAACAAATAAAGCAAGTCCTCGGCCCCAGCCGAAGGTACTTACCGCCTCTGTGCTTTCGGCTGAGGCCGACAACCGCCAACATCTTCTCTTGGAAGACATAATGGTTATCCGGAAGCCATCTCGTCGGGATGAACTTTATTCGGCCAGCTCCCCCAGGATTTCCCTGCTTCCCGAAGAATTCCATCTGCTCATAACTGGGGTAACGAGCGACATCAGGGTCTTCGGGACCCAAATCTTGCATGTTCGGATCGGGCCTAGAGAGATAGCGGGGTGCCCCAAAAAAGTGGGGGTGCTCTGGATCTGCTGGGGCCCTTACCCAAATCCATTGGCCTCGCCAATCCTTGTCCAAAATGTCGTTCGGCCACATGGTCAAATATTGTGGGTGGCTCTCAATTCGCCACCAACCAGACCCGTGCTGACCATAATGGCTCCGGGTGTTCTGCACCAGCTTGTGCATCTTTCGGAAGCAGTGCAAACTCGGCTCAACAGCAAAAAACCGACACACCTAAAGATAGGTCATCACCCGTCGAATGCTGACAGGCGTTAACTGGCAAAGGGAAATCCTGTACTTTATCAAAATGTCCCTGACGAAGGGATCCAAGGGGAACCGAAACCCGTACTGCAATTGCCGAGTGTATACCCCAACATACCCAGGGGGTGGACGATGAATTTTGTCAGTCGGCGCGGGCACTCGGCACCAATACTCATCTTCTTCAAAAATACTGTAGTGCAACTCTATCTGTTCGGCAAACCGATAGGCTTCGGCATGCCTAACCCACTAATAATAAGGTGCGTTTTTCCTCATGGCTCTTAGGGCTTCGGCATTTTGCCACTCAGCATGCCCAGAGAGCAAGTTCCAAAGTACGGAAGGCAGAACTTCCTCCTGTTCAGCGCCGCCAGCCTCGGCGCCTTGCTGGGGGGGAGCGGCGTTCAAGGGAACAGCCGGAACACCCCTCTCTGGGTCTTCCCGCACTTGTTCCCTTTTTCATACGTCGGCGCGGTCCCTTGAGTCCCTGGACTGTCCTCGTCATCCAGTCCGACGTCCTCTTTCTCGAGCCATTGTTGGATTCGCAAGAAAGGAAGTCGGGAAAAAGGGAAATCTTTCAAAAAACTAAGAAAATTAAGGGAAATTCGAGGAAATTTACCTTTATGAGAATCGATCGAAACTCGCCGATTCAGTCAGTCGGAGCAACGAGTTCAAGCGTCAAGCTTTTATTTCGGGGTGTGGAACGAAGTTTGGAAGCGGAAAAAATAATTTTTCAGGGAGTTCGAGAGTGAATTGGTGAAGAAATGAGGAGAGAAAGAGCAAATTTGGCTATATATTTCCAGAAAATTGGAATTTCGAGAGTCAGAATGCTTAATTTCTCTTAAATACCTCCTTAAGTAACTGTTAAACACTCTCTCCCTTAATTCACCGCCCATTATCCATTCAACTTCCCACTAATTATCCTAATTACAGTCATTTCGTTAATGATTGTTTAAAATTTAAATCTTTTGATTTAATTAAATCATTTACTTCCCTCCATTTTTATTAAAGTCAAACCCGACCCATCATCCTTCCAAATCGGGTCTGGGGGGCAAGTTGTTTGGGTCCAATTAAGCTAATTGGGCCCGGTCACTAAATGATTCAATCCAAGCCAAGGTCAAGGCCCAAGCCTCCAATCTGCCAAGTCATTCTTCAAGCTAACGGCCCAAGTCATTATGGTAAGCCCATATGATCTCAAGCCCATCCTTTCTCCTTGTCATGCTAAGGTATAAAAGCCTTCAATCACACCATTTATGATCAATACACATTCAAGCCTCAAGCATTAATTCTCTTGCATAGCTTTCTCTCTCTAAACACTATTTGACTTCGGCATCGGAGGAGTCTTCCTCGGAACCACCCCCGAGGCTAGTTTACATGTACTTGCTGTGCAGGAAACCCTCGGCCCAACATCATTTGGACCGAGCCAGTCTTCATCCGCATCTTTGGACCTTCGGCAAGGTCCTATTGTTTTCACCCGAAACATTTAGTATTTTAAGTTATTTTTTTGAGTTGTATTGTTTCAAACGTAGTTAATTATTCCAAAATTATTGGTTTTAGTATCAATTTTACCCCGAATGACATGTAATAAGTATTATTATTGTCTTTATCTCCTTCTTTACGAGTTTTTGTAGGATCTTACGATTGTACGATCCGATATCACCTTTTTCCGATCCAAAGTAGGATCTCGATCTTAACAACATTGTATGTAATTATATCAGATAATATAAGGAGTCTGTTTTGATTGACTGATGAACTGAGTTGAACTGAATTGAACTAAACTTATTGGAGCTAAACTGAATTGAATATTTTATGAGAGAAGAAAATTGAGAACTGAGCTGAACTGAACTTATTGCAACTGAACAGAACTATATTGAAATGAATTGAACTGAAAATAAGTTGAAGAGAACAGGACCTAAGTACTTATTTAGGCCACTTTATTCCTATGAATTTTAATGTTTTTGTGCTTTTATTCTACGATCCACCCAAAGTAAATTTATTAGCTAGGAGCAACACCAGACTGTTCTGTTTGATACAAGTAATCTCTATTATATGAAAATATCAAAAGTGACCACGACATAACTAATTTGTACCCACTTTGGGGGCTAGTTATACGTGATTTACCTTGGACTTTAGTTCAATTCAAATGTTTTCAGTAAATCGAAATAGGCCCTCCTTATATTCCATAAAAAAATTCAGGTAAATTGTAGCTACACAAGACAAGCAATATTATTAAACAAATTAAATTTAGGGCCTGTTCTCATTGACTGAAATCAGCTAAACTGAACTGATCTGAGCTGAACTGAACTGAACTTAGTAATTAGTGATTTTTAACTACGGATTAATGATCTTTGATTATTTATTACTACACATATGTATATATACATATGTACATATTAAAATATTTATGAAAAATACACTTTATAATTATAATATTTATGGAAATATATTATAAATATGAAACCCCAAAACATTTTAAACACATATACTATATAATTTAAAAATAAAATAGTATTATGACAAAAGAACACAAAACACTTTGTTGTTTAAATTTTTTTTTAAAAAAAATAAATAAATAAAATAAAATTACGTTTTCAGTTGCAAATAATCGTTGCTTGTTGTACTCTACACAATTTTATTCGTTTACATGAACTAGGGATTCCATTCACACACCAAGTTGAAGTCATGGAGCTAAGAGAAGATCATACTATGTACGATCCTAACAGAAAAGCAGCTATGGATATTGTACGATAAGAAATAACTGATAAGATATGGGAGTCAGTTCAGAGGAATGCCGAGGTAATAGAGGAGCTTGGTGGACAAGAAGAAGACGAAGAACTAACCGATTATGAAAATTAGTTTAAGTTGTGTAGTACTCTAATTTTCTCAATGAGTTTAACTGTAGAAATGTGTATCAAAAAATAGAACCATTTGAACAATGAATTGTATCAATATTATTATTATTATTATTATTATTATTATTATTATTATTATTATTATTATTATTATTATTATTAGAAAAAATTGATGGGAATAATCCCACCTTTTGAGCGTTGAAGATTAATAATCCCACCTTTGGGATTCTTTTTAATAATCCCACCTTTGATATCAATCCGCTCAAAATACTCCCGGGTGACCAGTGACCGATTGAAGAGGTAATTTTTTTATTAAGTGTATTTTACACGTGTCACAATTTGATTTGTCCAAAATTAAATAAAAAAAAACACCACCTAAGCTACACCACAGCCACCACCATCCCCAATTCCCCACCACCCCACCACCCAGACCCAAAACCACCGCCACCACTAACCGGACCCGAAACCAAACCACCATACCGCTATCCACTCCAGCCAACCCAACCCTAAAACCACTTCAAAAATCAACCCACAAGCAACCCCGTCTCCCCGCAACTAACCTTCGTCACCACGCCGCTCCGGCCAGCCATCCCCAACCCAACTCCGACCTTCCCTGTCCCCAATTTTCGGCGCGCCGATCTTACCTGTCCCCCATTCCCACCGCGCCTTCCTCCCCTAACCTCCATTCATGTCAAAAACCCACCAAATAAACCCAAAACCACCTTCCAATTTAATAATCGAAAATCCACCAAATCAAAGCCGGAGAAAAGGGTGGGAGGCCGAGATCGGGACGGAGGAAGGGGAGGGCTCGGGATTGTGGCGGAAAAATGATTTTCAAGGGTTGTCGGATGCTTGGTTTTCGATGGTTTTTGTGGGGGTGGAAGGGAGGTTGGTGGTTCGTGGGAGGCGGAGAAGGGGCGTCGGCGCTAGGGGAGTCGATTTGGGCGATCGGCGTTGTTGGGTGGCTAGGGCTGGGCAGTTGATTGGTGGCGGGGAGGGTGGCAAGGGGCTGGCAGCTGATTGGTGGTGGGTGGTGGGTGGCTTTTTTTTTTTTTTTTTATAAAATATCAAACTTTTTTTTAAAATGTATTTTATTTTATTTTTATTTTTTTGACCATTCATAGGCCGCCACGTGTCAAATAACCTGTTATAACAGGTTACTTGACCTGTTGGGACTATTTAAAGTGAATTGATATCAAAGGTGGGATTATTAAAAAGAATCCCAAAGGTGGGATTATTAATCTTCAACGCTCAAAAGGTGGGATTATTCCCATCAATTTTTCCTTATTATTATTATTATTATTATTATTATTATTATTATCGTCGTTGTAATAAGAGCTTAAAAGAATGAAATTTGGCTTTATATCATTAGCAATATCATTAGACATAAACTGAACTGAACTGAACTGAATTTCAACGTATGAGAACAGACCCTTAAATGATTCTCCTTTTTAGAACATTTGGATAGGAAAGAGAAATGCGTTTAGAGGCATAAATGAGTAGACTGTGGAGTGTGGACCCATTTAAGGGAGGATAGAGTTTGGCATGTGGACAATGAAATTCTCAATCATTTGGCATGGCCTTTTGTAAGCTTATAACTACTCCGTATAAGTTAACGAGTTAATTTAATAACATAATTAGGGTAACTAATACAAGAAATAACCGATTAATTAATTACATTGTTTAGTGGATCATCTCAATTTGCATTTAGTGTATACATGCATACTTAGATAACAACTAAGGGACTGTTCTCTTACGTTGAAATTCAGTTCAGTTCAGTTCAGTTCAGTTCAACTCAGTTCAGTTCAGCTCCTAATTTCCTTCTCTTATAAAATATTCAGTTTAGTTCAATTCAGTTCAGCTCAGCTCAGTTCAGTTCAGTTCAGCTGAGTTCAGTCAATGAGAACAGGCCCTAAAACACATTATTAATATATAGAAAAAGCCAATTGAAAAAAATTAAAGAAAGATCACACCAATTCATCAATAATATGATATGTTAGAGAAATAGGGAACATGAAATTCATGCAATCTGTCTTTGAGTTATCTTGCATTTCTGCTTGTTGCTTTGCAATTATTTGCTGCCAAATCAGTGAATATATGAAAATAGAAGAAGAATGTAGCTACTTGGACATTGTGCACAAATCATACACACATTTATATGCCAATTAGGTCAATTATAATTGCTTTGTGATCCACAACAAATCCATTGCACAAATCCAATTGCATATGTCCATTACATTCTGTGAAAGATTTATTTGGAGTTTGCTTATGCCTTTACCTGCCTCGCCTTTTTGTGTGTGCAATGTTTCTATACGCTACAAGCCTACAAGGGGTGCCTAAGATATTTTAAATGCCTTATAATTGCTAAAATCAAGAGAAAATAAAGTTGATATTAAATCTGAAATTGATATTTTCATAAAAATTGATATAACTACTAACAATGTTATTTTTGCAAACCCAAGCTTATATTGATTTCAAGCCTTTTTGCTTAAAAAACCATAATAGAACAATGTTTCCTGTCATATGATGATATGATGGAAGTATTGAAAGTTTGGAAAGCTAAGTCATACCCCTATAAGATAAAACGGAATACATTAGTTTGTTATGGAGTATGTCATAAATCAATAGCTAATTAGCCAATGAATCAATCATGTATGTTCTTATGTTGGTATAAGTAATGTCTATGTATGAGCAATAGATTTATATGTTGGTAAAACAATTGAAGACATGTTAAAAATGTTTTTACATTGATTATATTATTGATTATATTGGAAGAGTGTAAACATATAATGCAGATGAGATTTGCTCTCTTGTCATACCCTAAGACTTTAAACACGTAATTTTATATAAGACGATAACTTTTGTCTTTTTTTTTCTCTATTGAAATTTTAGAACTGTGATAATGTAATGAATGAGAGAGTAAAATGCTGGTGTTCATATCGTACGACAAACACAATTACTATCTCCGGTCTAAATTACTCGCAACTTTGGAGTATTATTTGTGAGATACAAAATATTCCAAAGTTGCGAATAATTTGGACCAGAGGTAGTAAACAAAATAAAAGAAAACTAGGGAAAACATTAAGAAATGGAGAGATTAACACAGTCACTTGGGTAGCCTTTTGCTTTTCGGATTTCACCTTTACCTTTAAAGAATATAAATTTCTAGATTTCTAGCAAAAGGCCTTTGATATGGACTGTGGATGTTTGCAAAAGAGTCAAAGTAAGGAATTCCTCTGGCCCATAAAAACTACAAAAATGTGTATAAAAATGCCCCACAAATCATCATCAATTCCTTAATTTACAAAGCTTCTCTTCTCCACTAAAAAAAAAAAGTTGATGATCACATTTCACCCAATCCCAAAGAATCCTATACTCAACTATGGCTGACCAATTTACTACAACAACCGAGTCCATAATCATGGCTGCCCTCTCCACACTCACCTCTTCTCAACTAAACTCATTATCTCATTCTCTTTCCTCCACCTTTCGCCGCCACAACCACCACCTTGCATCCCTCCTCACCTCTCCCGCCCTCTTCACTCACACCATCAACCACCTCTATTCCCTCTCCCTCTCTGAGAAATCCCTCCTCGTCGCCCGCCACCTCCTCTCCTACCTCCACCTCCTTACACCCTTCTTGTTCCCTTCATTGTCCCAAAAGTACATATCCTCCTCCAGTAGGGTCTGCCTTCGTGATCTTGATTCCATCCTCTTACTCTCATTCTTCTGTGAAGTCCGCAAGCACCAGCCAGCAACCCTGGAGTCAGTATCCCCTGCACACTGGCAGGGGATCCTGAAGCTATATGGCTCTGATACCATGTTAAATAACCTATCCACAGGCTTTGCAATGTCCCTGACACCCTACCAGGTGCTAGGGACATTTGTAGACCTGGTAGTAAAATGCATGAGATTTGTCAACACCAAAGGGTGTGGCAACGTGATCGAGGCCAGGAAGGAGGTAGCGGCCTCAGTCGACGCAGTGGTGGCGTTGCCCTCGATCGAGAGCGGTGGTGGGGTAGAGTGTGTGATATGCAAAGAGGAAATGATAAAAGGGAGGGATGTGTGTGTATTACCATGTGAGCATATATTCCATTGGAAGTGTGTGTTGCCTTGGCTTACTAAAAGAAACACTTGCCCTTGTTGCAGATTTCAGCTGCCAACTGATGATGTGTACGGAGAGATTCAACGGTTGTGGGATGCCATTGTTAAACTTGGTTTAAGTACAGAATGATATCTTCATATTTTATAAGTGGATGTTAATTTAAGTTTAGGATCAAATATTAACAATTAAGTAGATAGAAATACTGGTATATGTATGTCCCATGTACAGCTTGTTTTTCTAGCTGTTTATACAACTATAATTCGGTGTAGAATTTTTGTTTTATTCTGATTTTTCTGCTTTTTTTAAAAAAAAAAAAAATTATATTTGTGTGTATTTGAGGGGGGTTTTAGGATAGAATTTCCTTGGATAGTAGTAATCATGCAATTGTTCTTATGTTCCGTATATGACAGGTAATTTGTATGGAGTATAGCAGTAATAGCTTAGACATCCAAAATTCCAAATCACATGAAACTTCACTCTTTAGCCAAAATTGCACACGAATTTTGCCAAAATTGCAAATATAATTTATTTATTTTTTTAAAAAAATCTTAGACTGGTCATTTTAAAGCTTTGAGTATTAATATTTGTATAAATTATAACACCGAAATACTGAAGACCCACATAATATATTTTTCGTTGCTATAAATTACAAATGATGGTCGAAGTAAAGATTAATTAAAGGGTAAATGCAATGACAGGGATTATTTCATTTTCTTTTTTAAAGAATGAGCTTGATCTAAAATTCTAAATACCATTAAAACTTGTCAAGATATAAGTAGGCTAAAATAGAGTGGTAGATGACAAGGAATTTTTATGTGCCGCATGATGGTGTGTGTAATTGTATCCATGTGACGTAGAGTATAATAAATGGCCACAAAAATGCTTTCTACTTTTGTTATTTTACGCCACTGAAAGGCACTTAATTAAGGCAGGCAGATAACAATGCTAGAATATCTTTTGTGAGAATTGTGACTGTATAGTGTACTCATAATGCATAACACTTACAAAAGGTATAGCCTATAACCTCTTTATCTTAGCCTTTAATTATTTATATATACTAAGTATATATTAGTAAAAAAATATACGGTGTATAAATGTATAATCAAAATTAGTACTTGTATACAAATTATATAGTAGAAAACTCATATTGTTACATCGCTGTCATTTACTTCCTATTATACACGATTAAAAGACATAAACACAAACATAATTGGAGTCATTAAAAAAAAGGAACTCACATCAAGGTTATCACCAAAGCTATACCTGCATGTATCCTCTCTATGCTTGAACAGAGTACGTAGGCAGGAGTTCAGACGAAGTGCAGGCCAAAAACAATACATTTGTTCATTTAAATGAGAATTAAAGGTCATCTATAACAGCAGCTAAAATCAATCATTGATTAAAAGACTTTTAAGTTAAACAACTGTCAAGTTTGTTGCGCATCGTCTGTAGAAGCTGGGTTCTCAAGAGGCGTGGAACTATCAAGCTGGGGCCGGGCTTCAACAGGTTGCACTTCTATATTTTTCTTCTTCTCCTTCATAATCACCTGTCTTGGCATCACTTCTAGCACAAAGCTTCCTCCATTCCAGACAGCGGCAGAGACCTTCAGAATTTGGAAGATCACAGACAGCTCATATGACAGGAAGATGGGAACAGTGAGTGCCATGGTTGCCACGGTAAACAGAGCCTGATAAACTATATACATCAACATTCGATTCTGGTCCCCAAGCAAGCCACTCAGTCGCCACAATATACTGTTTGCCTTTTGAGCTTTCTTTGAAAGTTCCCTACATTATTCGATAAATATTTCAGAAAGTGGACAACCAAACCAATTTAAGTCTTGGAGTATAAAATGGGTGCCCAAATGCTCTTTCAATCATTATAGTCACCATAGGAATCTACACTAAGTTACGGGCTTTCAGTTACTGTCTCTTTCAATGACACAATTCATATTAATATCATTAACCATCAATACCTGTAAGAGGTCATGACTTCTGGATCTCGCGTAAGCCTCTGTCTACGCAGCACATTAACTATCAGAAAATAGAGAACTTGCCAAAGGGTGTAAGCAACCAATGGGACTAGAAATAGCCATGTACACAGGTATGATTGGTTTTCCACATAAGGCCATGAGACTCTACGATCAGTTCCTTCAGGATGCATGGCTGCAAAGGTGGTTGGATTCCACCACCGAATTGTAAAGAAAACCAAACCTGAAAAACCACCACATAAGATATTCAAGTTCTGAGCAGCTCAAGAAATAGGCTCTGCTTTCTTTGTAATAGATTGGAAAATCAAAGGAAAAAGAAAAGAAAAAAAAATGAGGAAGATGAAGATGACCTTAGGGGAAAATTGATAAATGGTTGTATTAGCAGTACAATCAAATCATTACTAAGAGGATTACAAGCCCAGGCCTTTGAGTGGCTGGACACTCCCATTAACAAATTAACACAAAAGAAAAACTTAATGGCAATATTTTAGATTATTGTGGATGACTATACAAAATAGTCATTTTTGGTTCATGCAACCAACCCTACTTATAGGATTAAGGCTTTGATTGATTGATTGAATCACAATATTTTCATAATCCCTCTCTGTCTAATCTCTTAGATATAGATATAGCAGCTCCCCTCTTTTCTCTATACTAATTCATTTGTTTCCTCTCCAAGCTAATTTGTCTACACAAATTTCTAGTCTAAATAAATACAGACGGAAAATAAAGTAACAAATGAATTTTGATAAATATTTGAATAGGGTAAAATTTCTGTCTTAACAGTTTATAATATAATAAACTAAATCCTCTAATTCTTTTCCGCAGCTGGATGAAGACACGTGTGTGACATTGACACCTATAGGGTGACGTTTGATAGCGTCGACTTTAATTTGATTGTAGCGTGATGTTTGATGATGTCGCTTAATCCCGTTCAAATATGTTTGAGTGTATATGAACAAGTCGGCACGAATGTGATGTGCTTGTTGACTTATTTTAGAGAGAATTCCGGTAGAGTTTTATGAGCTATTGGGAATAATGATTTTTGAATCCTCTTTTGAAGGAGAAAAAGTATATTGATAGGAGATATGAACTCCTTGATTGGACTTAGTAGGTTTGGGCTAGGCCCTTGTTAAAACTTAAAAGTCTTTTAACCTGGTTCATTTAATTTATATTACAACCCGAACAGTATTTGATTAATTCGGATTATTTATTTGGGTTGGCAAAAATAATCAAAATGTATTATCAACATGATTTAAACCCAAATTTATTTAATTTAATTTAATGTAACACACTCATAAAATTTCCGTGTTTACAAATTACTCCTAACAGACTAACTCTGCACTACCAATATTTCCCACTCCTTATACCTAATGAATTAAACTCTCCCTTTGTGATCATGAAAGCATATAAAGTGTAACCTTCTAAAACATCCTTGCACTAAGTGCAAACTACAAACATTTCACTCCCAGTCTAACTAACAGCTCTTAGTAACTCAATGTATCGTGTATAAAATTACTGACTTCCAGCTACTAAATACGTATCGTAGCACAGGTGTTATTGACTCAAAAGTTGATATGTTCTCAAAAATGTTCTCTCTGAATTGTTCATTGTCCTGTCAATTTACTGAAGCTCCAAAATCGTCATAGCTTGCTAATACCAAATAACCTAATTTTATAAGCACAAAACATAATACCCTGCCAAAGTGTTAATTCCAGTAGAAAAATGCCTCAGAAAGCAGTTTATTCTAAATTTTTAGAACAACAGATAGGCTCTAAAGTGCAGGTTTCTAATTGCTGAGCCAAAAAGAAGGAACTAGCAAAAAAGACATGCAGAGTTGCAGACAGAAGAAAGGGTGATAGACTGATAATATTTCCGATTCAACTAGGCATAGATTGCCACGACATATGTACAGCAAATTGACACAACTAGTAAACATATGTTTTTAGTTGTTAATATAAAGTAAGCTTCTGGTAGCCAAGACTTGCCATGAAGTATTAAGAGCATAGAGTAGAAAAATGTTTGATAAAAAATAAAAAAAATAAAAATCATCAGTCTATATGAATTCTTTACTTACCAGGTAATAGGTGAATAAGTACACTAGTAATTTTGTCAATTGAATTAAAAACCAAGCTACATCTCCACACAATAATTGCCCATGCTAAAGGACCCTGCAGTGGCAAGTCAGGAACAGATTAAGATGGATGAAAGGAAATTCCCCAAAGTAGCATAAATAAATAAATAAAAATCACATACCTCAGCAAATGAAAAGCAAACCATAAAAAGCTTTTCATTTTTCGGATACATGAGAAGTGTAACCAAGAATATTGTATTCGCATAGTAGCAAAAATCCTGTTACAAAATGAACAATCACAATGAGAGGCATTTCTTCATATCTTTGATCAAAAAAGTAACAATGAAAAGAGATATGACAACACCTATTAGATATTCTTCCAATAAAAGCTAATCTGTACTGTTCTTATGTACATTAAGTGTCAAGATACATTATGGAATGAAATATGATAAACTTATTGGCCTCAATAAGCAGCAACGTGAAGTAAACCAACAGCTAAGTAACTGCGTCATGATAAACTCTTGTATAATGCATTAGTCAAAAGAAACATTCGAGCTTCAAGATGGTATATAGGTATAAGTTCACTTCATATACCTCCATGGCTCCATTATAGAACTGTAGCCCAAGATAGTCTCAAAAATCAACTATCACCACCCTTTCCTTGTAATAGAATTCTAATAATAGTTGAAGCCTTGAAGGTCTTGATGAGAACATTATTTACCAAGTTCTAAGAATACAGTCCTATTTTGTCCAGATATTCTTCAACCTTACTACATCTAAAACGACTCAAGTAATTGGTAATTTGGTATACTTACTGTTATAGTGTATTCAACTTACACCTCAGAATCCCTTTACAAATTCAAGGCATCAAGCTTTGCAGTTCAATTACGGGGGTGCTAATACTACTATGGGAATGAACCTTGAATCTGCTTATAAATTTACAAATGAATTCATTCCCATTACCATCATTTATGGCCACCTACCAAATGGGCCATAAGAGAAATGCACATCAGACTATATAGACGCAAATTCCCTAGCTCTCCAATACACAAGCTATGAGTCACACATTACCCTGAATTGCCACGATTATTTTGAGATGCTTGACTTGCACTATGTTCCTTGAAAATTTAAATCTGCTTTAAGGATGACAGGTTTAATGTTATCCACAACAATTTAAGCACAATAGCACCTCCACATACAGCCTTACATGGTTACATCCATATTATTCACCAACGCTTCCTGTACAGCTCCCATAGTCCCATCCAAGTTGTAAACACCAATAATACAAGGCAACATAATTTTTTATTTGATTGCGTAAAATTTATTAGATAGTCTCTTTCAGTAACTATTATATAATTTTATTGGCAGAACTTAAAATCTTATTTACTTGAAAATGAATCTCTTAATACATAAACTTTTCATTGAAGAAAATTATGATACAAGGATGTTCATAGCACTCTCCAGTCCAAATTATAAAATTTTAAAAAAATAAAATATAAAAAAGGTTTCATAAGGGTTTGATTTCATTTCCAAGGCTTTAGTTTCTCCTTGTGCAATACACAGCCTACGTATGGACATAAACAACAGTAAAACATGAACTCACCTCTCGATACAATAATACAAGAAATCAAAGAAAGAGAAATTTTCTATTCAAAACTAATAAAACAGGTCAGGGCAAGGCCAAAAGGGATTCTCAACTTTTATAGTTTATACACATCGATACTTGGTTAAGCTCCCATTCACACCACAATACTTCTCCTCCCCATACAAAGATCTAATAGACAAAAATAATACAGCAGGTCAATCCTATGGTGACATAGTAAAAAGAAAAAACTTTTTGAGGTGGCAGGATATTTTCTCAAGTATGCACTTTTATCAAGATAAGCCTAGGTTATTCAACATTTTCCAAAAGAACCATTTGCTAGAAAAGCCTATATTCACCAAAAAATGTCTAACTACACAAGTACTACTTTGAAAAAAAAACAATACAAACCACATTTTGAAACTTGAGAAGGTTGGGATAAAAGGGGTAATGAGGTGAGAGAAGATAAGGGGATACATTTTATCTATGTTTTGTTTGAATTAGATGATTGCAACATGTATGACCTGCTAAGGTATGAAATTTTGGTGTTTTATCTAAAGTATTCCAGTACAGGAGAAGTGAGTTAGCAAGCTTCAGAACTCAACAAATTGTACTTCTTGTACAAAACTACAAATTATTATTTAGGGGGAAAAAAAAAAAAAAAAAAAAAAAAAAGAACTGCTTCCTTTTTTCTTTTGTAACTTAAAATACTTTAACTGACTTTAGTAAGGGTTTTAAGAAGCACCAACAAAAATGATTTCTTCATCAGTTACTAAAGTACTGCAGTATAATTCAGTATCCGTCAAAGATAAGAGGTTTCTATAAAACACCCTTCCATTCATTTAGGGGTCGTTTGGTTAGATCATTTGGAATGGGTTGGAATAGAGTTAGAATCGGAATCTCGTACCCAAGGGGTTCTAAACCCCCACCCCCCCCCCCCCAATACCCACCCCTCCCCCTAAGATTCACAATCCATTCTATTAATGAAGGATATAATCCATTCCAACAATAAACCAAACAACTTTGGACTATTATGGGTTTTAGAACCCATACCTCTCTAGTATGAGATTTCATACCAATTCATTCCAATTTGATGAACCAAAAAACTTTAGGACCACTATTGACTAACAAATGGCTGAATTGGCTGATCTTAGAGAGCACTTCTCAATTAAGGTACACTACACATATTAGAGTTAAACTTGACAGTAAAAATTGCAATTGGAAAACCAGCACAACTTTAGGCCCGTACAGCTCACGGAATTTAAGTTGCTTAACTTACCAATAGAAGCCATGTTTTATCATCCAAATAAGTATATTACAAACTCCAATGTTGCTCAATAAGGTTCATGCATAATTCGCCCAATATCTCCTTAAATTCATTGAGAAATGCCACCATGCATTACATAAGTGGAATGAATAGTGGACTACAAAATCAATCGGAACTCGCTAAATTATAGAATAAACAATGCCTTGATACATACTTTACTACTCTGTTAAACATACCATTAATGTGTAATGAAATAATAAATTGTTGGTAGTTGAGACCAGACTTACCAAAAGATAGTAATGCCACTTCTTGTACCGATAGTAAATCCATCTCAGTGGAACAAATATGACATAAAATAGACAGTACACAATAGGAACATCTTGTGGCCCTGAAAAATTAAAAATTGGACAATAAGTACGTACTACGATTTAACAACCTAAATCTACACCTAAAACAAAATAAATGCTGCAAAACAAAAATTCAGATTGGTAAGAAATTAAAGACTCACTTGCCCCAAGTAGAAAGCAAAATCCTCCAAACCCAAGTACACCACACAGATAAGTAACCTGCGATCAAACAATAAATCACAAAAACCCCACAAAATTTCAGCTGCACATTTAAACAAACACCTTACATACATTCAATAAATTAACAGTACACAACCAGAACCCAGATGCCAAAACAACTCAAAATCTATAAATAACCATTAAAAATACCTTATTGATGAATCTTTCGTGTTCTTCAGCTTGTTTGGCAATCCTTTCAGCATGTTCAGAGATAATCTTCTTCGTTTTCTCTCTAGTTTCTGCAACTTTCTTCAATAATTAAACATACCCATTTCAGAATCAATCACAAAAAAACCAACAAATTTGAAAATAATCAAAGAAAATAATCAAATTTGAAAATTTGAAAACCAGAAAAATTGGTGGGGTTACCTTAGATCGATCCTTTAACCTCTGTTTAACTTTCTCAAATGAATGTTCATATTCATTGATTTCTTCAAATCCCTCATCACTGCTGGGCATTTTGAATCCTTTACTTCCTAATTAAGGTTGCTCAAAATTGTTCAATGGATCAATCAATAAGATTTTACAAATTTCTAAAATTGGAAGTTTTTTTATGCAAAACTTGATATCGAGAATATTCAATTAAGTGACTTTTGGGTATTCTGACAAGATTATTGTTAGCAATACACGTCAAAATAAAAAATAAAAATATAAAGGTGGTAAATAAAAAAGATTATCTATCGATTGAATCTGTTCATACGTGGAGTCGTGGACAGTGTAGATACTGTCCACGTATGAATCTTGGAACTTACTGTTTTTATTTGCCAAATTATTGCAGATTTTTCTAGAAAGAATATTGTTTTAACTTTGAAGTATGGTCTCAATTTGTTTTGCCTCTTTTTCTTTTTTTGTCATTGAATTTAATTTGGCTAGACTCAACAATGGGGTTGGACTAATTCGGGTAAGTCCAATTGGGTTTTAAGTCGGATCGTGTTAATGCGAGTTTTGGTTTTAATTCATGTATAGTATATTTGTATTCGATTTTATAGACTATTAACTATTAAGTTGGTTGGTTTGTCAAAAAAAAAAAAAAACTATTAAGTTGGTCAAGTAACGGGTCAAGACTTTGGATACGTATTAGATCGGATCGACCTTTGAACACTAGGGTCATCATAACGTTATAAGGAAACTTATGAAAAATTGAAAACAATTTCAGCATTGCAATTGGATTAATGACTTCCAGGTTTTGAGAAGTATCCTCTGTGCATCAGAATTTAGACAATTAATGCTCAATGAATGATTTGTATGTATCTATTTAGTAATCCTAGCATTTCTGAACCAACAATAACCCAAAAAGATCATGTCCTTGTAAGATCATGACTTGTTATAAATAAATAGTGTTATTAAATTAGTAAGAGATTAAACTTCTCTTTGCATCTTAAACTTGCATCATTCTGATTCTATCCACTTAGTCTTGTCTCTATAAACTAACCCAAACTGCACCACTTCAGACATTCAGAGGGTTCATAGTTCCTGTTGTAAACTCTAAAGGCTGTGCTCAGTTGGTGGATGGTTAGCATGAAGGTGAACCGTGGCATAAAAAATGCCAAATTGCTCTGTTGTGAAGTCTAGTATTATAAGGTACATCGTTGTCAAATGTCAAGTTGCCTCTTACCCTACCGAAGTTACTTCTGTAGCAGTTAGGGCATAGCTTGTCGTCAGAGAGTCAGATTACAGGAAGGATAACAGGATCAGACACCAAGCATTGGAGCAATCCCAACCACAAATTGTTAAAACTTGGGGCTGCATTCTGCCAGCTTGGAAGGGCAATTTGCTCTTATCTTATGGTGGAATAAGGCTTTTGTAGTGCAGGCTAGATTGTGGAGATACCAATTTTGCTGAAGTGAGTCATGCTTATTGCTTAGCATCATAAGTTGAATAACTCAGAAAAATATGTTGGGTTATGACAGTCCCTCGAATACCACTCGAGTTTAGCGTCCTATCCTAACATGTAAAAAGGTAAAATATTGTTCACCTAGAGCACAACCTGAACAGGGTTAGAACCACAAGGGTAGCGATTCGGAGTGCATGGATTTGTTACATGATCACTCCCAACTTTTAACAATAAGAATCAAATTGAAGAAACATGCATATACAGATTACAGAACAGCAACTTGAAAACTCTTAATGGCAGGTTTGGTGCTCCAGCTATTCTCAAGGTCAACTGGGGCCTTGACCAATTTTCTTATCTGCCTGTGCAAATCCATTTTAAAAAAAAAAAACACAGAAAATACTACGGAGTAACAATTAAGAAACAGGAAGCAGATTAAAGAACTCTGGACACACAATAAATTGCATTCTTCTGAAAATCAACAACTGATTTCAGAATAGTGGAAAATAGTTAGTGACAGGGTACTTCCTACAACGTAGATTACAAATCTGAATGCACAGTTGATAAGATAACATAGTGATCTGCAAGCTAACTGATAGAATAAACATAATTCTAGACACACGTCTGGACACAAATGTAACACCTGATAACGCATGACACTAAGAGCTACCACCTACACAATTAGCAGAATAACCACAAACGAGTGGAAGTACAATAGAAGTGATGAGAATTGTCAACTTGAAACAAAAAGATCAAGGCCTTGCTCTTTTGTTGCTGCATGATGGGCACTTGTACTGCTTGATATGCTCAGCCCTAGCTGGAGTGATCTTTACACACTTCCCATGGAACCATCTCTCACATATATCACAGCAAATCCAGAACTCATCTGAAGCATAATTATCTCCACAAGCCCCGCAAAGCGTATCGCCATGTTCCTCTTCAAAATCCTCATCCAAACCATCTTCTTCATCCTTTTGTGGTTGTGGCCCTTTTGAAGAATACTTGGCCTGCGATTTAAAGTCTCTCATTATAATTCAATAAAACAAATGAAAAGGGAAATTGAAAATTTTGATCACAGCATTTAGTAACAACGTAATTTCAAATAATGCTACACCTTATGACCAGTTCATTACACAGCCATCGAATGTAAAAATGGTGAAATGCAAGTATGCAACAATTTACTCCAAGACCATTCATTGATAGCTACATAGTGTAGTCATGCAATAAAATCAGATTTAAACATTGATGTCAGACACAGTTTTTTCGAAAGACAATGCCCCATGTGACTGTAATTACAAGCACTGCAAAATGAGCCTATTACAGAACCCAATGGCCCCACTAGCAGATGCAAAAAAGGTTGAAACATGAACTAATGAGCACAAAAGGCAGGTTCTTCATGAGCAGACCTAACCTTCACTGGAACTTTCTTTTCTGCCAGTGAAATAACAAAAAATTCTTAAGACTGAAAAACTGTTAGGCACATGTCACTTCACCTTGTATTTTACTGAAAAACTGATTTTTACTAATTAAATTTAAACTACTTTTAACTAAAATTGATGATATTGATGAAACCTAATTTTAACAGATCAGGTGATCAAAACTTGACTTTTGCTAATAATCTAATTCAGCGGAGTTTTTATCACATGACTAAAACTGTTAAAATTTTTGCTAATGAAAAACTAATTTTTACTTATCATAGCATACTTTTAATGTAATTGAATTTCTACAAGTCCAAAAGCACCAACACCACCAAGCCTTACAATATCATCATCAGAAAACCAATTTACTAATTACAGACAAGAATCCAATAAAAGATAGCAGTGATAAGATAGCAGTGATACATTGTCCAACCAAGCAACAATAACTTACATCCCAAGTTCTAGAAAAACAAAAATCACGTCAATGGTGATTTACTTCAAAATAAGTAGTTTTAATCAAAACAAAATCCAGCAAACAGTACAAAGACACAAAAGATGTTTCAAATAATAATACATTTAGACCAGTTTTATTATCTATTAGAGATTGTGAGCTGGCACAGCACCAGGATGACATAGTATAGAACTTTTCTCATTGCAATAAATGCCCCTTACTCCCAAAAAAAACATGGAAGAAAATATATTCAACAAGAAAAAATTGAAGTTACTACCTAATCCTAATGCTCATTTGAGAACTTGATTTGTTTTTCTGAAAAGCTATATAACAAGAATGGATTTGCACACAATAGTTTAAAGTATCACCAGGAAAAAACTCTTAAGCATGGGTCTACCGGGCTAGTATCATCAGGAACAAGGATAGGTCTACCCAAGTACTCAGCTAGCCATGGGTGAATATCAATAAAGCAACACTGATATGGAGTTATGGACACAACACAGCATAGTGAGATGAATCTATTCAAGAAGCTTTGACTAAGTTTTATTTTACCAGCTCGTAATCTACTGCAACATTCCCCCAAATAGAAGGAATACCATTTACAAAAAGAAAACCAAAAATTTGTCGACAACAATACTCATATTCTTGGTGTATAACACTACAACATCCAGTTGAGATAATATCATGTGGAAATATAAGATTCATAACTCACCGAATGATATCTAAGATAAATAAGATAAAGTAGTATTTGAGCTTACTACAGTTGCCTGGTACTAGACAACAACATGACACAAAAAAACAAGATATGGAGGTCTCCATTCTCTAAGACTCTAACTGCAGGCAAATTATGATTTTATCATTCACACAAAAGAAATACTAAGGATATGCTCATCCATGGACATGTTCTATCTCATAGACATAGTACCAACATAATCATTCCCCTTGGATGAATTATTGATTTTCCAATAGACATACACATCAGTTATCTCCAATTCTCATTGCACATATCAATTTCTGTAATTAATGCAACTACCCATACAGTGATGTACGTTTTGCAAAGATAACTAACAAATAAACATGACTTACTGATTTTGAGTTTGATTTGGATTTGGTGCTGCTGTTGTTTGAAACTGATGTCTTCTCTTTGGAATTTGATTGCTTCTTTGCATTTCCACTTACAACCTCAAATATTGTAGGTAAGTCATTGATCATATTAAACAGACGCTTCCTGCAAAATAGATGAGAAAATACAAATTTGATGATGATGATGATAGCACTGCCAATAGTATCTTAAATAATAACAACGGAAACAATAACAGCAATAAACACAAAGATAATAACAATCTGACCAAAAAAATATATATATATACAATTAAAGCTACGCATGATATCCCAATATTGAAAAACTTTTTTAAAAGATAAAAAATGTTGCAAAACTGAAAGGCAAGGGGGAGATGAAGAAATCATCTGCGTTCAATAATTATGGCTGCACTCTGAAAATGCTTACCAAACCAGCAAGTCACCATCAAAGAAAAGGCCATTTGTGTTTCCATTCCTCTCATTGCTCTTGATTATATAACCAGGGTTGTATAACCAGGGTTGAATAAAAGAAGAAGAAAAAGAAAAAGAAAAAGCAGGTTTCATAAATTGTGAGACAAATTTCAGTTAGGACTTCACAAAAACAGCTGATAACAATGCTAATTGTACAGAGTGAAGCAATTGGTATGCTATATCATGGGAACTTCCCAAGATACACTGAATCAGGTGTTGCAATAAATTCTGGCACTACATAATTTGAGTAGAAAGGAGAAAATTAAATACCTATCAGATTTTTCGAAACCAAATCTGGCACCAAAGTAGAAGGCAACAGAAAGCAACCATGCATCACTATGAACAGCAACAAGCGACAGCCAGTCCTTTGATTGCATGCCATCTCTGGCGAAGTTAATACCCAAAGCAGGCTCAGGGAGTTCTGGAGGCACCTCTTCTGCTGGCAAGTTCACTTCCCACTGCTCATTTGGAAATCCATATAGACAAAGGTTCTCCTTCTCTGCAAAATGCACTAGTTAAGCAAGCCAAACAAAGCATTCACTGCCAACCTGCTACAACAATTATTAAAGCAAGCAAGCCAATTGGTGCTAGGTAAAATAAATAGGGGGGCAGGGTGGGGGGAGAAAAGAGCACAACAACTACCACTACTTGGACTGCAGGCAAATAACAACAGAAAAATTTATTAATTGAATCACAGGTGTAGATAGAAACTAATATACTCGGTACCAGATACAAAAATGTACACTTTTTTCAGAGTTACCACTTTAACCTGAACACAAATCAGAACTAACTCATCACAATCCAAAACCTTTGACCACCTAATCTTTCTACACAAAATGAACGCCAAAAACCTTTTCATACCATAAATGGTTTAAAAGCTTGACAACATACAGTCATTACTAGTATAGCTCAAATATGCATATAAATCATACTCCCTTTGTTTCTCAATAGATGCATCACTTTGACCACCAATAACTTTAATTATATGTTAGCGAAAATCTGAATATATATATATATATATATATATATATATATATATATATATATAAGATGACATTAATTTTATATATTAGTAAAAAATAACATGGTTAAAGTAAAAATATAAATAGGGTAAAATTCAAACACAGGAAGTACTAAACAGACATGGACTGATGGACATCCACTCATAATGGATAGCTTATTAAGAAATCTTACTGTAATACAAAGAATCAAGCATAAGCCGGAAATGGAAACGAGGCAAAGAAGGAAACACAAAGGAAAGGTAATTTTTTAAAGCCAACCAGCAGCAAAGAAACCAATCCACCAATCCAAATTTCCTCATAGTAGAGAGTTATCTAGAACCCAAAATTCTCTACTGTTAGAATGCAGCTTGTAAAAGCTACTTTAAACATGAAAGACCAAACATTCAAGAGCTCAAAGAAACTAACATGACAAACCCAATGTATTATTCGAAAGCTACTAATAAAACAATAAAATTGCGAAAATGGAATCGAAAAATCTGGCGAAGCATAGATAATAGAGTAATCGCTACAGTTTACTGAGACAACACAATAAGTCTTATTTATATACACTAAAACAGAAATAATCAAACAGTAATCAACTGCTAAAAAAAAAGTTAGCCAATATAAATAGCATTATCATTAAAAAAAGAAAAAGATTAATTCCTTTTCCTAATTTCGGGACCCAAAAAGCGCAAAGAATAATCAATTGAACAAACATTACATGCTAAATCTACACATTAATCAACATTCAACAAAATCTAGTGCACACTATAATAATAATTAGCTCCCAGAAAATTTCAAAAATTAAGCAGAAATTCAACATCAAATCCCAAAAATAATGATAAGAACCCTAACCTGGGTCACATTGCTGGTAAAATTCTTCAACATCTGCAACAAAAAACCCAGAAAATTCAACGGTTAATACAAACACAAAATCAAAGAACCCTAAAAAATTACTGCGCTTAATAAAAAATCAAATAATGGGGTTGAAAAATCTCGAGTAATACCAGTAGTAAGAGCTTTGATCATGCCAGCTCTTCGACCCTTGAAATCTCTGAAAACCTCTTCAACAGTTCGAGGATTGTACTGTGTATTTCCGTCCATATTTTTTTATTTTCCCTCGAAATCTAAAGAGGGGTTTTGGTTCAAATTTGAGCAGGAATTAGAGAGAGAAAGAGAGCAAAGAGGAGAGAGAAAGAGAGGAGAAGAAGAGAGAGAGTATTCAAAATGTGTGTGCTGGGAAATTTAATTAGCAGAGATGACCAGAAATTATTAACATTCGGTTTATTTTAAGCTGAAGCAGGAGCAGCAGCGAAGTACCTGAAGCAAAAAAGAGAGGAAAAAATTAAAAAAGAAGCCAATTGAAGGTCTCGGCCTCGGCCACGACCTTGGATGTGGATGTCAACTAGCTGTAAGTGTCGTGGGAGATGCTGGTATGGATTGGTGCCGTAGTGGACTAGTGGGTGGGTGTTGTGGTCTATGGATTATGGCTCGTACTTAAATTCTGTTTAGATTATTGATTTTTACGAGTATGGCTTTTTAAACACGGAAAAAATAGGAATATAATAATTTAGAAGTGGGGATTAAAATGTTTGAAAAAAAAAATATTGATGAATCTAAAATGGGTGCTGGAATGACTCACGTGGATGGTTACGATTTAGGTATGGGGTTTTGATTATTTAATGTAAATTTCCATAATATTTTTGAAAAAAATAAAAATTTGTGAACAACCACTTCTTTCTTTTAGGGGAGAGACTTTGAGAATTGACCCCTGATGGCCCATTGAAAGTTGGCTAATTGACCTTAAATTTTTTATTCTACTAATGTTTATACCATTTCTTAGCTAAAATTCACAAGTTTTTATTTTCCAAATTCGACTGTACTAAAAAAGTTGAACACCCTCCTCTTTTTGTTAGAAGCTTGTTTTGTTTTGTTATTCCTTTTTTTTTAAAAGAAAAATTGCTAAAAATAATACAACCTTATCCCATTCTTTTTTAATAATACAACCTTTGGATTATTTTGTAATAATACAACTTTTAGGGAGTGTTCATTTTAAATAAAATAAAATCGAATTTTCAGTGAGTTTTGAGGTGGGAGAAGGGGAGGGGATATTCCATCCTTCCTCAAATCCTCATCCCCACCACCAAAAACTCATCCGTCTCCTTTTCCTAACCTCAACGTCCACCATTACAAAATAATCTAAAGGTTGTATTATTAAAAACGAATGGGCCAAAATGTTGTATTATTTTTAGCAATTTTTCCTTTTTTTTTAACATAAAACAGATAATATATATAATATTCATAGGCTAAAGCCACTAGTTTAATTACAACCAGCATCAATATATTTACAAGTTGAAAATTGATGCTGCACAAAATAAGGTCAACATACTTTTCAAAAAAAAAACAAAAAAAAAAAAAAAAAAAAAAAAAAAAAAAAAAAAAAAAAACCAACCATTGAAGGAAAGCAAAGTTTGATCCAAACACAACAAAGACAAGGAGCAAAACTAGTGTCGATTAGCAGTCCTAGCCTCAGCCAATTGAGTTTGATATATGTTCTTCACACATTCAGGACACAAGGAAGTGAGTCTTGTAACCTATGGCCATGTTTTTCCCAAGAACCGCAAGTCTATGTGCCAATTCATTCCTCTCCCTAGGAACATGAGTAATAACGGTCGTTGAAATGAGAATCAGTAAAATAATTTCAGTTAAGTAAAATAATTTCAACTAAATAAAATCAATTTCAATTCAGTAAATATGTTTTAAGTTCAACAAAAATAATTTCAATTCAATAAAATTAATTTCAGTTTAGCAAAAATAAGGTGAAGCGAACTTTTACTGAACTGAATGAGACCTAATTTTCATTTCAACGGATTACAAATATTCATTAATAAATAGAAAAACCAGTCATGTGAAATATGTTGGTTGTCTTAATATGCAGTAATAATACCTTTATATAATAGTGTTAATGCGTAATTGTTGATATGGATGGTAAAAAAGAACGCATCTAGAAGACCAGGTAAAATGAAATAGTAAGCATTACAATATGGGACAAACAAATCCAATAATGTTTTTATGCATGCTTTTATGGTGCGATTTTAAGATTTGGCCGGTCAACATCATAAACTATTTCAAATATTCACCAAAAAATTCTCTAATGAGGACATCATTCTATAATCCACATTTTCCCCTACAATAATGACACTAAACCGCTATATGTAGTTTAACTCTGAAATTTCCTCACTGACAAAGGGGTAAAATCAAGTAAATTTAGGAAGAAAGGTTTGCATTCTCACCAGAAACGTTCTTTAACAGCATTGACATCCACTAGCCACTGATATGATCAAAACCATATGCTAAGTTTGCTTAAAAGTCTCAGATTGATCTATTATCTATACATTGGAGCAAAAGGTACATGGTTCACATTGCTGCATACGAATAAAAACTCACCAGGCGGAGATATTGCAGGTCTTACTGTCGATACAAAAACTTGAAATTCTAATCACAAAAACTATAAAGTAGGAACAATGAGCAGGCCTCAATATTGTACTAAAACAACACATTATACATCATCCAGTAAAATTACTTCAGAAATCCACTTTACTAACAGCATAATAAAGCGAAAATGTATTGACTACAACAATTCAGCATCCAACTCAACTCTCACTGAGTTAACTCCTTAAATGCTGGATCAGTATTTTGAGTCAGATCCTAAAATCTCAATCCACAAAGATTTAGTAAAACCCAATCTAACACAATAGAAAAATAATGAGTTACCATCTTCAGAGCAAAAACTATACAGTGTATGTTTTGCATCTCCCTTGCTACTATCTACTGCATGGTGAACACAGGCTGATAAATCTGCTCACCATACTTTGTTAGAGACATTGAACACAAACGTGCTCAGTTCTTGCTATAAGAAGTTCAATAAAAACAACATCGATAGCAAGAACGCAAATCCATTAATAAGAATCTTGACCAGAAGCAACTCTTTCCAGATAGCTTTTACACATTGCAATAACAGGTACAAAAAATTTCAGCCATGTCTAGAGGAAAATCTACTTTTCAACGTCTTTTAACAGCAACTGCTTAACCAGCAAGAGAATCTGTCAGCAAAATGGACCAATATTAAGAGCATATTCAATAAAATGGACATTTAAAAATAAAAGAAAGCACCTACTAGGCCACTAAGGGTCACCAAGATGGCAATATGTCGACAATATTAGTGACAATGAAACCCAGATTTCACATTTTTGGATAAACTGCAGCAAATACAACAGCTTGAATTCAGAAAATTAAGAGCTTCTCCCCTCGACAAAACAAGGAGCAATGTGCAAAGCAAAAAGCTGAAACTGAACGTAATGATAAAAATGAGAAAAGCATTTTCTAAAGCATACAAAGAACAAAGAAAGGGGATTGAAAATGTGAATGGCAATGCTATACACATTATTATAACTTTTGACTGTCAAGTTACTAGAATGTGCCATAAAAACTGACCGCCGGAAGAAACAGGTTAACAAAATTTTGATGTTGATCAAATAAGTGAACATTTCAAACAAAATGGAAAGCTCAAGCAAGTGATGAACAATGAGCCATGATAACATGAGAGCTTGAAAGAAGCCAAGTAAACAGCTCAGGCAAACCCATGGTACAGGAATTACAGATTTAGTAAAGGTCCTTCAAGAGTAACAATTATTTTCTAAGAGAAACTCAACTGATGTCATGGGCTGGTACAGTGAATTCTTAAATTAGAAAGCAGTGAAATCTTAAACAAGAGATTCTCTTTCAGTTGCCCCGATTTATTAACATTAATACTCTACTAACTTTGAAAGATAGTACTGGCAATATTTAGGTACTATTGAACTTCCTTGACTTTTATTAATATAAGTGGAATGGCTCATATATTCACATGATTACCACATAGTTCACCACTAAAATATCCACAAGAACAAAGAAATTGCAAGGCAAACAAAAGGTATTAGTTTGCACTTTACACTATTTGCTCTCATGGCCTGTGGACATCAAAATGAATGTATCCTTAATTCTTATATGAAGTCAATATGCTGGTGAAAAAAAAAAAAAAATCTAGGAGCAAGCTCAGGATAGGTTACCGTTGGTACTAGAATTAGACTCATCGTGTGTGTTTTCAATTACGCGTTGTTCCATAAATTCACGAACTGTTCTCCAATAACGATCTCCACCAGTAAGCCATGTATCCATATGCATGCCAGTAGGGAATTCCACAAAAAAGCAATGTTTATTGTGGGTAGCTGCTTTGGCATACAGCATTTTCATGTGGATTGGAGGAACCATCTCATCTTGCAATCCAGAGATGAAAAGGATAGGCTGTTTAACCTGCAGATGAATTTAGAGAATTGTATATTTTCATTAATAAAAATGCAGGCAGGAATCGGAAATCAAATAATTCAGGCATGAAAGAAAAACAGAATAGGGAGCAAAGATATGCCTTAGCTTTACATCAATAAAGGTCCTCATTCTACGTACAAACAAAGCAAATATAGAAGAATACATTGTTGGAGGGAACTTATATGGATTAAGACTCAGGTTTTATTGTCAGATAGGGTGACAAGCTAGGAGAACTAAAGAGTACATGGTACACAAATATTCCAAAGGATCAGGCACATGAAATGTCAAGAATTACTTCATAATTTATGTAAGCAATTTCAAATGAAAAGGAACGGCAATGGCAACAAAAAAAGAAACAGATAGTCCAACATGTTTGATCCAAACTTCTGTTAGCTCCAAAAAAATTCAACTCTTGGTGTTTTATTCTTACAATAATTCATATTGAGCAGGGACATACATTTCATGGGACTATTTTGAAGATTAATACTCCCTTTTTTCCATAAAATTCTTCCCATGTCTTTTGCACGTCTCCAATGCACACCTTTGACCATTAATACCTTTAGTTCTTACCTAATAAATATTATGACAATTTGATATTATGAAAATCACATTTAAACTAACAAGACCTCACATGATGTTATTTTACTTATATACATCAATTTTTAAACTTCGACTACATGAATATTAAGTGGGAAAAACTTCACAGAATGGAGAGAGCATATCACTAGGTACCATTATGAGATAAGACCTCCAAAGTTAGGATTCTCCTTAATTTAAAAATTCCAAAAGGCAAAATGATCTATCAGAGCAACAAAATTTCAAGGTCCTTATATGCTATTTATCATATAAACAACCATAAGATACAAGAAATCCAAACTTGGACAGAGTCGAAGACAAATTCATTGAGCAGATAGGACCAGCATATTTTCTAGAAATGAGTCAGGCAACATACAAGACTTTGGCAAAACTTCCTTTTGAGAAGACAGGAAGAAAATCAACACAAATCCAGCACACATAGCTTTACCTGACCAATAACATCAATGGTACTCCAAGGTGATCGGACAACACAGTTCAGAATCTTAGGACCTTTGCCAGT